AACAATATTCTCCTCTTTGATTTATTCAGAGATGTCGTTTTCTTTTTCTTGTTTTTAAAGGTCATGTAGTGAGATTGTGATACAATATGTAAACGTGTTATTTGTCAAAACACAAACGTCATTAAAATTGTCAGAACTTGCATGTCTATCAAATTTGGCTTTGATTTTACCCTTCTTCCTCCAAAAACATCTATTGGCAGGTTTTTTCCCCTTTTTGTTTTCTTGGATGTTGTGAAAGGAGTGTGTGCGTGTGCGTGTGCGTGTGCATGCATGTGCGTGTGTGTGTGTGTGTGTGTGCAGAGTCTTGTCAAAATTCAGGATCTACTTTATAAAAGTCTGACATTCTGGGGGATGTTCCTCTTTGAAAACACATCTCCTGAAGAACCAAAAATGTACGATGGACCTCTGAACTGAGCTGGGGAGGCGTGGCTTATGATTTTAATCATGATATAACAGCACATACGGACACACACTCCGTCTCTCACACATAACACCGAACCACATCTATAAAAAAATAGCCCCAATAAGGAGCATGCGTCAACTTGGGTGCAATGAAAATGACTGAGTTTTAACAACCACTATAATACTGAACTCTCCACATATTGTCACCCTTTATTGCCATAATCAGTAGCAAATTGTTAAAAAAAAATAATCTCTGGAAGTAATCATATCCTCTGGAGAGGAAATCCCACTGAATTGAAGATGTATGTCCAGTGCTTTAATCATTATGAAAATACATCAAAACATTTGAACCTGTGACCACAACAACTACAACAATAATACATGTCATTGATCACTTACCCTAACACCCACACCACTCAATAAGGTCTAAGCAAAGGGTCAAGATCCCATATGGCTTTAGGCATGCTATGTGTTAAGGCTAACAAAACAAAAAAAATGTAATCGTAGTATCACCATTTGCTTTTTGTATTCCAATCTTTACTCAAACAATATATATATAATGTAGTACAGCTGAGACAAGGAAAAGTAGAATTGCTGCAAATAGTTCATCCACCCTTTGTATATCAATGAGTCAAGAAAGACTAAGTTTTAGAAACTCTCTCACTTATGGGCACTTGCAAATAGGCTGCTTACCTAGTTACTTTACATATCTGTGATGGATTTAGACAGAGCACCTGCACAGAAACATTGAGGTGAACTTCAGGTTCAGATGTCCACAGCTTTCATGGCCGAGATTCATCGGGACAACAGCTGGCCGCTGTAAGAGTTCTGCACCTTGTTGCTCCGACCAGCTTCTTCGCCCGGATTAGGGCTTTGCTGTCCATCTGTCGGGCGTCGGCTTACATTTAAGCCCTGCCATTTCACAGGCCTAGCAGCAGCCAACACGCCTACCAGGCAGCTAAGCTTCTCAATGACACAAGGGTAACCTTTCTAGAGAAATTCAGCTAGGCGACATTATAGCAGTGTTAAAGTGATCTTTCTTGGGGAGCTAAAGGTCACACTCTCCTGGTTAAGATGGATTTAACGCAGAGTGGCCGTCACTATACATGTTCTGTGTTATAACTCTAAACTGCTGCTTACTGCAAACAATTGAACCAATAACCATTTTATGTAGCAGTGACATTTATAATCTCACAAGCTGATTTTTTATTGATTCACTGATTAATTATCCAATGAAAAAAACTATAGTATATACATCTTAAAATCCAGTAAATGTGGTTTCGAGTTAGGGTTTGCATTACTATCATAGCCATTCAAATAGTACAGTAGATACAATTCTACAGCTTGGTCCGTCCTTTCAGGATAAAACTGCCAGCTGACTTAGCAGTTTGCAGAGGAATAGGAATTAAAGGCTGTTAACACTATGTGTAACAGATAACGTCAGCATCATCTTAAGGATATCAAAAGCTTACAGGTATTTACCTAGGCTCAGGAGTAATGTTGCGTGATAGGTAAACTAAAGCTTTTAGCAACGCTTTACTTGTAACAATACCCTCCCATACTTGTTGTTTGATTGTGCTTATTGTGGAGAACCTAATGAAAAACAGCCTCTTTCAGATGCACGGCACTAGATCTATGAGTGATTTCACATTAAATGCTATAGCAATTAAAACAACTCACTGCAAGTGGGTGCACAAAACCTGTTCAATCAACAAGGTGTAAATACAATGAGTGAAACATATCGTTATCTTTATTAAAAAAATGGTTGTTTGAGTGGCTTGGGTATATAAAGAAACAATATCTTAAGGACCGTATTAAGATTGTCCGTATTATTATGATAGATCCACTGATGGCTACTCTTACGCCACTGTGTTATAATAGGAACATAGGGAACCGTTCATTTCCTGATATGATTCAACACATTTAGGATCCCTGTGGATGCTATCATAAAAGGCATTCATCTCACTATTCATTGATATTGTTATTACTGGTCTTGCACCATATGGTCCTTATTTAATCATCGATGATGTCTTACTTCTACTCGGCCACATGCTTTTCTTTGAGAAGCACGCCTCCTCTCACTTCACCTCAATTAATGTAATTCTCTTGGAGCTCACTTGAGTGCTGATTGGAATGAAACACTGTTTTCAGAGTACATGCCTGCGAGGGAATGATAACACCAGATCATTAACAAAACAGAGCGGCAAATGTTTACCAGTGGATGCCATTCTTCATCCTAATGTGTCCCTGTCTGTACTTATTTGCTGCTGAAGCCATGTGCAATAAAGTTGCCGTCATGAAAACAAAAAGGAATGACTGTAAAAACTCAACATCTCTCTCTTATGGCTCTTGGAAAAATAATCTGATGGATCATAATGGAGTTATCAAGTTCAGTGTTATTTTGTGTCATGGGGAATTTAAAACTGTGTAGAGGAGTAAGAAGACTCATTCAAATGTTTCACTTGGGTCTATAACCAGCTGAAGTTGAAGTCATGGAGCTTTACCAACAGGGGATTATGAATTGACCATTTTCTTTATTGGGTTTCAGTATCAGTGGTAATAGAGTTGGACATAATAGCATCTCATCGACTGATATTCAATATGCGATAGCCACATGATACAGGGAGACTGATGGAATTGAGCTTGCAATAAGGACACTCCTTCTTCTTAGGTGTCTTAGCATGCCATACACGGCCCCGCACCACTCCATCTAACGGCACTCAGCGCTGACTTGATCAATGGGGGTTAAGGAATAAGAATGATTCAGGATGGCTCGAGGCAGGAAGGAGCACAGCAGGCTCTGGTGAGGGGTGAACAATCATCTCCGCCTGTTTTGAAATCTCCCGGTTTCACTTGATTAAAGATGGTTTCATCAAATTCCCTATCTGGACTTTGACCTCTGAAGTAATAAAGTACTATTGTGTGAAATAAATCTAACCCATAAACCCTTTTTTATGTGTCTGATGTCCAGTTGCCCGTTGGTTTAGTTGGAAAAAGTTATTAGATGTGACCACAATGGTAGTAACATGTCACCCCATGATTAACTGTTGACCGTAATTTAACTGTAATATCAGGTTTTTTGCCCCCTTTGCTCTACACAGGCATACTCCGTCAAATGTAACATGGTCCTTGAAATCTGCTCAAGCACAAACATGTGCACTATCCGTCACAAACCTTATGTGGATCAGCAAAAACGCACCATGTGATCATGTGGCAATTTACAGAGAGAGATGAAACTGCATAATACTGGCGAAAGTCTTTGTATGGTGACAACAGCCATCACACACAGACAGGAGTCCCCCAGAGACATGTCTTGATGAGTGTGAACTAGATATGAAGGATTTAATTCCTGTGGGGAGGGGGTTTATTGTCTCACACTTCACTGTGAGTTAATTACAGTAACATGTACTTGAATGTTGAAAATGACATATTTTAATTGATGGTTAAACATTTAATTAAAACATCCATCTACAATCATAGCATTAGTGACACTATCATTAGTTCACCCTTTAATATTATGGATGCCATTTTAGTTTTTTGCATATAACTGGAAATTATGAAATGATAACATCAATTGTTAAATGTTAGTTAAATGTTTGTTTTTGTTCTTCTTAAACCCCGTATTTATCTCTCTGTATCCAATTCCCTTGTGGTGTAAGGTCTATATTTTATCGTAAAGGATTGCAGGAGCCAAGTGTCAGCCACAGCACATACATCACACTTGCCACCATCCATCTTTGATTGCATCCTCCTGTTACTGCTGCTCTACCCCCCTACTGCTTCTTTTTAAAACTCAAACAGTGAATGCAGGCTAGACGTAGGATGAAAAGAGTAGGGGATTGAAAAATAAAAAGACGTTATGGACCCAGATCAAACCACAGATGTGCTCAACGTGTGCGCCTGTGACACAGCATGAAAAATGCTGTTAATTCCACTTGAAGCTCTGCCCCTTCACTTCATATCAGGGTGATACCATTGACTGATTGATCATCTGTATGGTGTTCAGAATACAGGAGACAAAATGAGAGCGCGGATAAGATGTTTGTAGATTACTAGGATGTATTAGGCATTTGATTTTCTTGGTAGAATCAATACTTCCTAAGATATCACAAATAGGTGTCACAGAAAGCAGTGCATTCACAGCAGCTGCTTGCATTTGAAATACCTTTTGAAGCTCTGTGTAGAAAAGCGAACGATGCAAAATTCAAAACCGTCAGCACTCTCAATTATGCAAGCACATACCTTATTCCTCGTAACCGCCCACCTCTATTCATCTAGAGTCTGTGGCATGAATATTGCAGCGGGATTCATACTCTCTGTTCTGTTAGGAACTGTGTCACACCAGAATGGCATTTTTCAGCATTGTATGCGGAAAATGTAAACAATGGCGAAAAGTTTGCACTGCATATTTTAATTTCACTCTATAGCTCAAACCATGGCATACAATCTCATTGTGCATGTTCCTATATTCCTGTTTGAGCTGATGTACTTAATGTTCCAGATCTGCACTGAAATGCTAGGTAGTTTATTATTGGTGTCAAAGCTGGTACATTTTATTTTCAAACTAAATGGTTTTCCTCTTCTTTGTGTCTCCCCAGGTAACCGATAAGATGGCGGCCAGGGAAGCGACTGGGCACAGCTACCTGGTGGCTTTCTGGCAGCCCATTCTGATACTGATGCTTGGCGCCGTGCTGTCTGGCTCCACTACAGGCTGTCCATCCCGCTGTGAGTGCAATGTTCAAGAGCGCTCTGTGATGTGCCACCGCAAAAAGCTCATGACAGTTCCCGAGGGCATTCCTGCAGAAACAAAACTGCTGGACCTGAGCAAGAACCGCATCAGAACCATCAACCCAGACGAGTTTGCCATTTTCCCCAACCTCGAAAACCTGGAGCTCAGTGAAAACACGATCTCCACCATTGAACCTGGAGCATTCAATAACCTTTACGGTCTGCGGACATTAGGGCTGCGTAGCAACAAGCTCAAGCTGATACAGCTTGGGGTATTCACAGGCCTGAGTAATCTCACACAGCTGGACATAAGTGAGAACAAGATTGTCATCCTGTTGGACTACATGTTCCAGGATTTGTACAACCTGCGGTCCTTAGAGGTGGGTGATAATGACCTTGTTTTCATCTCCCACCGAGCTTTTCACGGGCTTAGTAGCCTTGAGCACCTGAGTCTTGAGAAGTGCAACCTGTCCTCCGTACCAACAGATGCTTTTACACACCTTCACAATTTGATCACGCTCAGGCTGCGTCTCCTCAATATCAATGTGATACGGGATTATTCCTTCAAACGGCTCTACCGGCTGAAAGTGTTGGAAATAGCCAATTGGCCTTATCTGGATACGATGACTCCAAATTGCTTGTATGGATTAAATCTCACCTCCCTGACCATTGCAAATGCCAACCTGACAACAATTCCTTATGTTGCCCTGCGGCACTTGGTCTATTTGCGCTTTCTTAATATCTCCTATAACCCTATCCATACCATTGAGGGGAATAAGCTTCATGACCTTCTGCGTTTGCAGGAATTTCACCTGGTTGGAGGCAGACTGGCAATGATTGAGCCCTACTCTTTCCGTGGTCTAAACTACCTGAAGATCCTAAATGTTTCTGGAAACACTCTAACTACTTTAGAGGAGTCTGCTTTCCATTCAGTTGGCAACCTGGAAACCCTTGCCTTGTATGATAACCCCCTGGCCTGTGACTGCAGACTGTTATGGGTTTTCCGACGACGCTGGAGACTGAACTTCAACAGGCAGCAGCCTACCTGTGCCTCCCCTGAGTTTGTCCAAGGCAAAGAATTCAAAGACTTTCCAGATGTCCTGCAGCCAAACTACTTCACGTGTCGCAAGTCTAGGATTAGGGATCGCAAACCTCAGCAGAAATATGTTGACGAAGGAGCCATTGTTCATTTCGCTTGCCAAGCAGATGGAGATCCTTCTCCAGTGATAATGTGGCTATCTCCGCAAAAGAAGTTTATCACCTCCAAGACAATTGGAAGGCTTTCCGTGTTGCCAGATGGTACCCTGGAGGTTCGATATGCCCAGACCCAAGACAATGGTACATATGCGTGTATAGCTAGCAACGCCGGCGGAAATGACACCTCCCCTGCTCACCTTCACATCCATAGCTACTCGCCTGACTGGCCACAAAGGTCCAACAAGACTTTAGCCTTCATCTCCAACCAGCCCGCTGAAACTGGTAATGGTACACGAGCCAATGCCCCTTTCCCCTTTGATATTAAGACGTTGATCATTGCCACTACAATGGGCTTCATCTCTTTTCTCGGTGTCGTCTTGTTTTGCCTGGTGCTGCTCTTCCTATGGAGTAGAGGTAAAGGCGCCACGAAGCACAACATCGAGATCGAGTATGTGCCACGGAAATCGGACGCTGGCATGAGCAGCAGCACAGCGGATGCTCCTCGCAAGTTTAACATGAAAATGATATAACCCAGACAAGGAATTTATTAATTTTGAACAAAAAAAAAGACAAATGGAAAAGAAGACATTTTCTTTCCTCCCTTACCAACCTGTGGATCCTGGTCTGTGAACATAGAGTAAAATGTTTTTTTCTGATCTAAGTGCTAAAGAAGAGAGCACTTCCTGACTTTCACATGTAAGAGGGGATGAAAGCACCTCCAGTGCTACAAGGCATTGGTGGTTTCTACATGGCCTGTGAAGGCATCAACTGACAGTCAACTTTGTCATATCAGTTCATATTCCTGTGGATGTATACTGGGAACAATATATCTGAAAAGAAAACACTTCAAACAGCCAGTATGGGAGGGGCAGATCAAACATCGCTGTTTTGTGTCTGTATTTTTTTATTTTATGTTATTTTTTTCTTACATTTGTTTCCAAGGTTGAATGTCAAGTTATGAATGAGATTTGTATAGGTTGATGAGCACATGTATACAACGTACAATTTAAATGAATCATCCTTATACTATGTTCTACATATGGTCCGTTTTCTTTCCTACAGTGATGATTGTTCTGTAAACCATCAAATGTATATGTTGGTCACAATACCTGATGAACAAAAAAAAAGTATGTCCCCACCAGTGAGCAGAAATATATAACAAAGTATAGCAAAATGACATGATAGGAAATACAGAATGAGGCACAATAGAAAATCTTATTTGCAGCTAATTCATAGCCAACTTCTTGTCCGAGAAAGAACAATGAAGGGTACTGTAAACCAGTTGGTCATTAGGTGACCTGAAAAACAGAATGATACACATAAGTCCTCTGAAATTACATATGGAGATATATAAAGGTACATATAGAGCAACTTCAAATATGAATTGCCATGTTATGTACTGTAAAAATCAAACAAAAGGGTATGTAAGAATCCATTTAATGTGACTCACAGGATTTTTATCATTGGGAAATTGCTCTAATAAAGCCTTTTGAGCCATGTATCTGATATCAGTGTCAATGTCAGTCACCCCTATTATGCACACAGTGCACAAACATGGATTGAGAGCAGGATACATAATGAAATGTGAGATGTTGCTGATATGATGGAGCTCTGTACCAACAATAGACACAGCATCTATCAAGCTGAATAGTTAATTTTAGGACGTTGATACTGTAAGCGCTTAATAATGGTATTATTTGTGCTCAACATGATTGCGAGGAAGAAAAAGTTTGGTGCTCCAATGTTTTAATATATGTGCTCTTCAAGCTGTAGAATACTTCTTTCATAGTTTTTTTCTTTTTTCTTGATCGTTTAACAAAATCAATTGTTTATGTCGATGATCCCCCCCCCATCAAAGCCATGGACATATTACCCTCCAGGATCATTTAAAGGTTTGCTATTCCCCAGAAATGTGCAATGTTTGTCAGTGGAAAAAGAACTGTGCATACAATGCTCCCAGTTGGACCTGCATATAAACATCTGACGTTACAGCCTTTTCCTTTTCGAACACACACTGTGGACAGCTTGGCTTTGCAACATGTGTGAGGATAGAGGCTAAGTTATTTATGATGGATGACATTACAGACAACGACAGAGTAATGGGCTGGAAGTATGGACAGAATATGCAGATGGTTTGAGTGACACAGATGGTTTTACCCATGGAGCAATCTGAAGCAGCTTTGGTGTAATCCATTTTGCATAAAGAAAAAAAAAATACCACTGGATATGGCTCATCGTTCTCCCTCTTGCTGAATGCTCTCTTTGTTCAAAGTGTGGCTACTGTACCCAGCCTTTTTTTGGTCCCGAGTGATCCCGGGATTCCGTTTTTTGTTTCTGTTCTAACATTTTTTTTAATTTTGACCCTGGACTATGTTGAACATGTAGTCCAAGCCAACTTTTTACTAAAAAAAAAAGTTAAAAAAATAAATCTATGGAAAATACATTAAAATTGTTCTGTGCAATAAAGGTAATATGCAGATTTTTTTTTTTTAATTAACAAAATTTCATTGATGTTGAATTGTTGAGAATATGGTATGTTGTATTAAACAATCTATGGACTTTTTTAAACACATGATGGTCCTATCTTGATTTTAAAAAAGGTGTCGTTGGTAAGGACTGTCTTATTGCCAAAAACTACAGCCGTGTGTGTGTCTCTGTGTAGGGTTGAATAACATTGGTTCATACCAATGTCACATCAATTACATTGTGTACATACGAGTCATAATACATTTTATTTTTCCTCTATACAGATTTCTGAAAGTGAAATATAGTGTAATACCCCTTTAATGTGTTTTTACACATGTACAATCTGAAGTCTAGCTGCACATTTGGCTGTATTTTTTTGTATCTATCAGTGACCAAATAAACAATTTAATGTTTATTTTCTTTGATTGGATACCTCATTAAATGATTATGCAGACCGCAAGGTAATTTACCATCATGTATTCCAATGCTAATTACTTGTTTACAGGGCATTGGTATTTCACATGTTTACTTGTCTGGCCTCTAAACATTAATTAACCACCATTAGTAAAGGATCACAAACATTAAGTATAGGGAATATTATTCATTAGCACTGCTAATGTGTCATATACTTCTGTATATTGGCAAGGTAATTAGTTGGTGACATTCAAAAGTGTTTCATATTAGGGTGTCTCTTAGTGAAACATTAGCAAATCAAGTTACTTTTTGAAGGTTATCGGAAATGACAAGGGATAGGACTGGGACAGCCTTGTTTTATAAAATATGGTTATCCTCTGCATTATGTTTGGATCTTTGTCCAATTCCTTATTATTCCTTGCTTCCTTGGTAGGCTCCAGGGGGACTTTTGACATTTCTTCTCCTCAGGCTCTATCAAAGCTTGCTCATTTGTCTTCTGACTTGAAAACAGACAGGCAGAATAGAGGCGGAGAGAAGATATTCTTGAGGCTTGAGATCCCTGGAGAGTACTAGTGACATCCATTGTTATCATTCCTCAGATATTAGATCTGTGTTTAAATTTCTAGGTCAGGAACAGGCAAATGGATTCTGACACCGTACGACAAGTCAAGTCTCCCAGTAAGCATGGAAATACAGACACACCTCTGGGTGTTGATTGCACTTTCCCAAATCCATGTTGTTGATTACATCTGGGCAATAAGTGATGCAGTTAAAGTATACCTTTGCTATCTGTAGCACCTCAACAGAGGCATCAGATGCCTAAAATACAAAAGCAAGTAATTTAACATTCATGGGTCGATGTGGAACATACACTTATAAATAAGTAAGTTGCAGTAATGTAAAGACCAGACAATCAGGAGTTAATGGGCTAAAATGTACAAAAGGACTTGCAGGGTCAATATGGTAATGCCTGGAAAGAGTAACCAGCACATCTGATATTTAAAATCACAGGTACTGTAATGACACAACTAGTATTTATTGTTAGTGACAAGAGTCAAGTCTTTTATAACAGGTGAAATATGAATATAGGGTTATTTTGAGAACTAAAATACATGTTATGCTAATGTCAAAACCTGATTTAAAGGTCCCATGTCATAGCCATTTCTACTGATCATATTTCCATTGTTGAGGTCTACTAGAATAGATTTAAATTGTGCAATTTTCCAAAATCACATTGGTTTCTCATACAGCATCTCTGTAAAGTATGTGTATTCACCAGGTATTCACTCTCTATCCTAAACGGCTTGTTGGAGCTCCTGCCCCCCCCTCCCTGTGAGCCCAGTGTGCTCTGATTGGTCGGGACGTTGCGAGGCTCGCTGCTGGACAGGTTTCCGGGTCGGCGATACAGCGAGACACAGCGAAACTCATCCTGAGCACACACAAACACTCACAGCCGAAGTAAAAACAATAAGTGTGGCTTGATATTGAGTAAGAAAAAGGTTTATAACGCTGTGAGAATGGGTCTGCGGAGAGCATTTCTCCACGATCCCAACTCGTCTATTACCAGCGTTCAGGGAGCTCTATGCAAGTCAATGGGGACTCCCTGTTAGTTAGCCAAGGGATCCTGGTGTGTGAGGTGCTCCGCGGATTGGTCCATTTGAGCCAATCTGGTCATTTGTTGTTGATTTGGGTGTTCACACGTCACAGAACCCAGGAAGCAAACAATGGAAAATGAGAAATCTCCAACGAGGCGTTCTGGGGCAGCATAGACAGGTCTTTTCTGTGTTAGAGTTTTACTCGCTACAGGGTGTACTTTGAGGGTTTTTGACTCTGCAGACCGTTCACATAAAAACCTTCATAACACACAAGGGGACGGGTAATAACCGGAAAAGCATGACATGGGCCCTTTAAGTTGGATGGGTTTAATTTAGTATTGAGGGATAAATCTCCTCATGCTCAACTCAGAGCGATGTGATATTTTAGTGTATATTGCTCTACTGTTGCAAAACTCCATCTGCTGTAAATAGTCATTTTCATGCATTATTAAGGAAAAATATGATATTGCAGCGAACAACAATTGTCTTAAAACACAAGCTGTTGTCTGATATGCACTGGAGAGCAGCAACTTTTTATGTGGATGGCCTTCATATATATTTCCAAAGTGGTGCAGTATGTATCACTGGACTGTTGCATATTAAAAATACCAAGTTTCTTTATATTCAGAGGTATTAACAATTGTAAAGGTGCCATTCACTTGATGTTACATCATTTGCTGTTCAGTCATCCAAAGTTCACTTCAACATGTACTGAAGAAGCGGAAGAGGATTAGAAAGATATATTTAAAAATGCTGGATGATTTCAGACTGACGTCTATGGGCTGTTATTGATCACACTATGAGAAGAGTTGTATAACTTTTGTCCCCAAAAAAAGTCTGAGAAACAGTGATGAGTGAAACAATTAAAGAGCCCGTTGAATACTTCCTACTTTTGATGAATCCCCAAGGCTGAGCAATCTGAAGCTCTTCCAAGTAAACTGTACACACAATTCAAAGTAGGAGTGTCTCCTGTTGTTTCAGTGAAAGTCAAAATCAAAGCAGCAACATCCTATGCTCTGAAGTGAGCATCAATGTGTCTGTTTCCGGAGGCTGTTGACTCGATTCCTCTCTTCACGGTTTTCGGGGAAATTTGAGATGACAGTTTCTTTTGTTACCGGCTTCCACTGGACTGAATGATAAAGTTTGGAGGCTACTATATGAGCCAAATCCCATATGACCTTGTCCTGCACATCTTCAAGTATTTACACAATGATTCTTAGGTAAAAAATGACCTTGAATTTACTGAAGGATTCCATTAGCATAACAGTGACTCTTCGGTAATCACACAAATAAATAAGTAAATTAGTTTACATGAAGCTAATGAAGTGTAATATGTAATTTCACGAGTTGATGAAATACGCACATGTGTATTGGACATTTTACTATCATTATTATGTTTACATATCTTTATCTTTTATTGCACATTCTTATTTCTTATATTATTTAACCTGTTAAGCCCGGTGCCCCCGTCCGAAAAAACAGGCTCAAGGCTTAACAGGTTAATAGATTATATCTTATGTTATTAATATTTTATTTCATTAATTCTATAATGTTACGAAAACCGTTTTCCCCCTGGGATTATTACACATTTTTCTGATTCAGATTCTGATCAAATTAATTATAAAATGTGGCAATAATCCAGCAAATATATTTGTTTTGTGTTGTAGCCTTTATTTATCCAGGTAAAAATCCCATTGAGATCAACGGTCTCTTTTACAAGGGAGACCTGCCGCACATTGGTTACACATGTAACAGAAAACAAAAAAGGACACATACAACATAAAGACAGGGGTACAATTTACAAACGTATTCACAAAGACAAGTACCAGGAGTATCAAATATAATTTCATCCAGCTGTGCTTCAAAATGATGCAGGGGAACCAAAATGCTCATTTTTCATATTTGTTGCAGAGTGTTCCAAGCTAGAGGAGCTGCGCACATAAAAGTGTTAGTGCCTAAAACAGTCCTAGCACTTGGTACATGTAATAAAAACATCCTGGGATCTTAGGCAATAGCTACTTGCGACTCTCTGTGATATCAGTGAGTAAGGTGGTAGTTTACCCAGCATGGCTTTATAAATTAACATGTACCAATGACTGAGTCTCCGAACAGTAAGTGATGGCAGACTTGCCCTGGCATACAGGGTACAGTGATAAGTAAGTGCTTTACAGTTTGTAACAAACAGATAGGCGGCATATAACTTTATCAGGTAATGGGCAGGTGCATTCATATAAACCAGATCACCATAGTCCAGCACAGGTAAAAAGGTCACTGAGACCTTTTCCTGGCCTCAAGCGAGAAACAGGACTTGTTTCTGAAAAAGAAACCTAGCTTCACCCTTAGCTTTCTAAGAAGATTATTGACCTGAGGTTTAAAAGAGAGACAATCATCAAGCCAGATACCAAGGTATTTATAACAGGTAACCACTTCAAGTACTTTTCCTTTCGTAGTAACAATATCCAAAGTTAGCATACCTTAGTTTTATCCACATTTAAAAGAAGCTTAAGCTCAGAGAGCTGCGTCTGAATAATATTAAAAACAGCCTGTAATTTAAAAACAGCCTCCTTAATGGAGGGACCTGCACAATACATCACGGTATCATCAGCATACAAATATAAAGTTGCTTCATCCACATTTTGACCTAAACTGTTGATATAGATGGAGAATACAAGTGGACCTAAAGCAGAACCTTGTGGTACACCATTTGAAGACAGCCCATCAAAATGAACACATTGGGACCTTTCAGAGAGGTATTTCACAAACCACCCCACTGCATGGCTGGATATGCCAATACTGGCCAGCCTCTGCTTCAGGATTTGATGATCGACGGTATCGAAAGCTTTGGAAAGATCACTAAACAGAGCTGCACAACTCTACTTTTTGTCTAAGATATTAGCAATATAATTTACCACTTTCATTGTCGCAGTGATGGTGCTATGTTGCTTTCTGAAACCTGACTCGTGCTCACTCACTAGGCCTTCAAGAACCTTGGCCAGAACTGATAATTTAGAGATGGGCCTATAATTATTGAATAATTTAATAAAGTAGACTCCCCCCATATAAAAGTAAAAATATCACACTACTGTAATTGATAGAA